TCCTTCCTTCTTTCCCTTTCCTCCCTCCTCCTTCCTTCCCTCCTCCCTCCTTCCTTCCCTCCCTCCTTCCTTTCCCTCCCTCCTTCTTCCCTCCTCTCCTTCCTTCCTTCCTTTCCCTCCTTCCTCCCTCCCTCCCTCTTCCTTCTTCCCTCCTTCCCTTCCTCTTCCCTTTCCTCCTTCCTTCTTCCTTCCTCCTCCTCTCCTTCTTCCCTCCCTCCTTCCTTCCTTCCTCTTCCTCCCTTCTTCCTTCCCTTCTTCCCTCCTACTTCTTCCCTCTTCCTTCCCTCCCTCCTTCCTTCTTCCTCCCTCTTTCCTTCCTGCCTCCTTCCTTCCCTTCCTCCTTTCCTCCTTCCTTACTCCAAGTAACTTTTCGGCCTGGAGACCAATATAAGGTATATTTATGTATATTCACTCGTTCTTCTGCTTACACAATAACTGCACAAACAGTCATTATATTGTTTACAAAACATGTTTACACAAACCAACAATAAGAAATGTTGTTTATTACTTTTTTCTATCACATATAATCACATATAAAGTCACTGTACATTCCCAGAACTGCTACAGCTTACTGTAAAGCTCGTAGTTGTTGTGTGGGGGTGACTTGTAAATATGCTGAGTCACTGACCTAATTATGTCACAAAGACAAATAAATCACCACCTACCACCCCACTGCCTGTCAACACCCATCCCTTCCTCCCACCCACCAACCCACAGGAAATAAGTCACTGTCTAATTTGAGAGTGTACTAGTTGATGTCCTCCTTCTTCTCCTCCTCCTTCCCCTTCCTCCCTCCTTCCTTCCTTCCCTCCCTTCCTTCCTTCCCACCTTCCTCTCATTTCTTCCTGTCTTCCTCTCATCTCTTTCCCTTCTGTTCCTCCCTTTCTTCTACCTTCCTTCCTTCAGGTCGGTTTCCTGGGCATTGCTTTTGATCACAAACTCCTCAAAACAATGAAATTCATCTTCACTGACACTTTCATCTGTGCTTGAACTGTCACTTGGGAACAAAAGAGCCCCAAATAGCCGAGGAGTGAGGAGTTTCTTACCGCCAGACGTGGTGAACAAGGTGTAATAAAATGGCTTTCCCACAATGCACCACTGGGTCCCCGATTTTTTTTATACTACGCACACTGACCATGGAGACCCATTCTCTCACATCCAGGACTATGAGCCTTTTCCTGCTTGATCTGAGGACGCTAGAATTTATGCGTACTAGTACGGCACCAACCCTGGCGCGTAAGCTGTACTAGTACGGCACCAACCCTGAAATGTTTAAGGGTTAAAACCCAGTGAAGCAGTTCATTCCTAATGGTTAGTTACAAAACTGCTTCAAAAGCAATCCTGAGCAACTTCTACGAAGCTACTGAACTTTAAATTCCTAGCCAAAATATTCCAGTTAATCAGGTTAAAATAATACAATTTTATCCTTAAAAAGTCTCCTCGGTGGCTTTCAAAGTTCAGGGGTTGATATAACACACCTACCTGGAGTCTACCTGGAGAGTATTCAGAGGGAGAACATCTTTGAAGCCTGGTCTGGGACCAGGCCTATTAGCAGATGGCTTGATCAACCAGGCTGTTGGTGCTAACCACAAAGTCCAACATAAGCACCACAGCCCAAATGATCAGGAACTGACTTGAGAAACTTGTCCACTTTTTTTTTTTTTTTTTTTAAGAGAATTAGGAGTCTCTTGATAATCCCTCTTATGTAAGAAGGGAGAATGTTTCACACTTACTGAGTGCTTTCTTTAGTGTGCTCATTGCACCTCTGCTATTCATTGGGAGTAGTTTGCTCTGTCTGCCGAGCCTCTTACTTTCATGGGGAATGATTTGTGTTGCAGATTTGGGACCAATCCTTCTAGAATTTTCCAGGTGCAGATTATAAAGTCTCTCTCTTGCCTACAATCCAAGGAGTACAGATTGAAGGATTTTAAACATTCTCCAGGTCGGAAATTTTTCCTGGTTTGAATGGGGCTGTTTGTGTGCAGCAGTACTACAGCTTAGAGAGAGAGAGAACATGGGATTTAAAGAGTGCGTATCATCACTGACTTCACAACCTTTGTTTGAAAGGGTCCCGCAAATCAGCCTATCATTTTTTCTTGTGGTTTCATAGTGACACTGTAGTGATCCTTGAAAGTGAGATCATCTGATATGACTCACAAAATCGTAATGACACAATTGCAAACAAACCATACCATGGGCTAATGCATTGGTCTGAAGTTTTATGAGACTTTGACTGCGGGTTCTATCCCCACCCATGGTATGGTTTATCATCTGATATGATCACTCAAAGGTCTGTCACATTAGACTTCTGCTCTACTCAGTGATTTAAGCTTGTTTTATATTCTGTTTCTGTCTTGATTTCCTCAATTTTTCCATAAAAGTAACTGAAACTTGTCCTCATTAACCCTTTCAGGGTTTCGGACATACTAGTATAGCTTACGCACCAGGGTTTTTGACGTACTAGTACGCCTAAATTCTAGCGCCCTCAAATCTAGTGAAAGCTGGTAGGCCTACATATGAAAGAATGGGTCTATGTGGTCAGTGTGTGCAGTATAAAAAAAATCCTGCAGCACACAGTGCGTAATGAGAAAAAAAAAAAATTTGACCGTGTTTTTGGATTAAAACAGTGACTTTGCACTGTATTTTCGTATGGTATTTATTGTTGTATTATAGTTTTCCTGGTCTCATTTTATAGAATGGAAGACATATTACAGAAATTGAGATGATTTTGACTGGCTTGACAATGAAAAGTACCTTGAAATTGAGCTCAAAGTAGCAGAAATGTTCGATTTTTACCCAAGTTCAAAAGTAAACAAATCATGCTAAGCGTCCAATACACATCAACTGGTGAGTCTAATATTCTTTCACAAGTGTGCCGATATTATTTATACCATTTCTATATTAATGCAGTAGTCTGCATAACAGTAAATCTTGTATTTTTTGTGAGAATAAAAATTCAAAGTGGAAAGCAAAAAAATGTAAGAAGGGCATGGGGACGTGACTAATGAACAGAGGAAATGTTATTTTAGTGCCAGGAATGTCTTTCTTGTTTATTCTGGACCCTATTTGGAAATTGGCATCTTTTGAAATTTGTGTGAAATTGGCAAAATTGCTAAATTCTGACCACTGTATTGGATAGCTGAAATCGGTAAATGGGTGGTTTCTTGTACTCATTCGATAGAAAAAACGGAGTTCTAGTGAAATAGTTATGATTTTTGTCGACTAGTACACTGGAATTGGCTGAAAATAGGGATCAAAGTAGGTAAAATCGCCGATGCGTAAACATCGTTGAGACCGCTAACTTCGCAAGAGCATAATTCCGTAAGTTTTCCATCAAATTTCATACTTTTGGTGTCATTATGATTGGGAAAAGATTATCTTTTCATAAGAATATTTTTTTTTTTTTGAAATTTGGGCGACCCTGAGAACAAGTCTGGGAGAGGGCCTGGGGACCCTGAAAGGGTTAAGCATGATATTGTTAGTGGCCCATTCGAAGACTACTCATATCAGCTTTTAGGTTTGCCATGTCCTCAATGGATGTTATTCATGCAGATTCTAGTATCATCTGCAAAGGATGATATAGTGCTATGATTTATGCCTCTGTCTATGTTAGATATGAGAGTGAAGAAAAGAACAGGGGCCAGTACTGTGCCTTGAGAAATAGAGCTTTTCACAGTGGCAGCCTCCAATTTCACTCTATTCACTATTACTCTCTGGGTTCTATTCATTAGAAAATTAAATATACATCTGCCCACTTTTCCAGTTATTCTCTTTGCATGCATTTTGTGAGCAATTACATCATGATCACACATGTCAAAGACTTTTGCAAAGTCAATTTAAATTAAATTGCATTTTGCTTGTCGTCCATTGCATCTAAGACCTTGCCGTAATGGACAAATAAATGCAAAAGACATGAGCAACCTGCTCTAAACCCATGCTGCCCAGAGTTATGCAAATGTTTATTAGTTAACCTGCTTAAGACTCTCCCAAAGATTATGATAATGTGGGATATCAGCACTATAGGTCAATGGTTTTTTACAATTGCTTTACTGCCACTTATATGTAATGGAGCTATGTTGGTGGTTTGTAAGGAGTGTGGGATGATTCACATGTCAAGGTTTCCCCTCTATAGAATATTCAAGGCACAAGACAGTGGATTTTTGCAGTTCTTAATGAATATGGAGTTCCATGGGTCATGGCCTGGGGTAGATTACAGGGGGCATGCACCTTACTCCCTCTGCCATCCTACCCTCTCTACTTTCTCTAATGCTAAATAATTACTAATATAATGTAGCATATGTAGATACCACAGCAGTATTTGTCAGGAGTCCATCTGACCTGCAGCCTAGTACCAGAAGTTAATGATTTATACTTAGGTTTAAGCTTATATAAAAGACACACTTGTGCAACGAGAGGTAAATTTAATGTTGAAACATCTGCCCCTCCAGGGGCTTCATCAACCAAGTAAATACATTTCACCCACCAGGGGCTTTACTATCCAATGTTTGGCACACCAGGGGCTTTACTATCCAATGTTTGGCACACCAGGGGCTTTACTATCCAATGTTTGGCACACCAGGGGCTTTACTATCCAATGTTTGGCACACCAGGGGCTTTACTATCCAATGTTTGGCACACCAGGGGCTTTACTGCAAATGGTGGGTGAAACCTGACCACACTGGGCTGATAGAGAACCTTGCGAGTTATACATTTTCCACAATAAAATTACCTCACATTGCATAAGTCTCTCTTTCATACATTTGTAGATGCAATATGCCTTATCTGTATCAAGTTCAAGTTTGTTAAAAGCAGCATAGCTTTTCTTCTTTTTAAGCATCTGTCTTTTTTTACCCATTGTATTAATCAAATTCTAGTTTTGGAAAGAAAAAATTAGGCTTCAAAAGTTAACTCATATGTGACAATTTATGCTATATACAACCACATACAGAAATGTATTTACAAAGTGAAGAAGGAAAGACAGACCACAAATACTTATGTACCTGATAAAATTGTCCCTCTGATGACCTGAGACTCTCTCTGAGACCACGAGCAGCTTCTCGCACCATAAGCACCAGACTAAGGACTAGTGTCACCACCACCACTAACAGGTATGCTAAAGGTAAATTATATTTCCAGCCTCGAGCTTCATCTAGAGTTAGAATGCGCCTTTCATATGACCCATAAAAAAGGTATGAAAGTTCCAGTACACCCGTTCCTTGAACGCCATCTTGAACCATCCGGACGACACCAAGGCCATCAATATTTTGTGATTCCTTGAGAACTTCCATCCGGTATTCTTCAAAGCAGCAGTTGGTTTGGTTATCATACATCCAAGATGTGCTATTATCATCATCCAGAAATGGACTGTTCTCCTTGGTGCAGTCATCCTACAAAAAAAAAAAAAAAAAAAAAAAAATAAAATGTACAATATAAAAAAGCACTGGTTAAAATCTTTTTAACACATCAGCTGTTTCCCACCAAGGCAGGGTGACTCAAAAAGAAAGAAAAACCCAAAAAGAAAAAACTTTCATCATCATTCAACACTTTCACCATTACTCATACATGATCACTGTTTTTGCAGAGGCGCTCAGATACGACAGTATAGACGTCCCTCCAAACTGTCAATATCCCAAACCCCTCCTTTAACTCCTTAACTGTCCAAACGTAGATCTACAGTGTTATCGCTAGCACTCCAAACATAGATCAACATTTCATTTTTCCTGCCTCCAAATTTGGCATGATTGGCTTGAGATGCCTGGTCAGTATAGAATGGGTCTTAACACTCAGTGTGCACTAGCTAGAGCAAACAGCATGGCAAACACCAGGGATTCACTGATGCCACGTTGTATTAACACTCCCCTTTTAAGAGGAAAGTGATGTTGACCACTAGCTTAGTGACTGAGTTGAATGTGGCCACAAGTGCCTGAGGAAATATAAAAAAAAAAACTCGACAATAACCCATGTGCAACATTTGTGCCAAATCATTTCAATATTGATACCACTGGTAGTGTCATCCTGCCAGAATGTCCTGTAACCTATGCCCTAAGTAAGAAGAAATAATTCTGGAACATGTGTAATACGTGTTCGGCAGGCTGGCTGGTTGATTGACTCTGGCTGTCATTATCTTTATCTGTGTGTGTCAATTTCACAGGTACACATAAGTACATACAGTTATTATACATAGTGTAAATTACCTAGGATAACCCAAAAAATCTAGACTAAGTGCTATACTATGCTTGTGGATATAAGGCATAATAAGCATGACTAGAAATAATAAACATTTTTACTTGTTCAGGAATCAAACATGATGACTCTGCATTGTGTGTAATACCTGTTGGTTCATGAGCAGCTCTCTCTGAGACAGAGAGACAAGCAGACAGAGAGACAGAAAGACAGACACACACACAGGCAGACAGAAAGACAGATAAGCAGAGAAAAACAGAGACAGACACAGACAGACATGTTTATGTATAACAGTGAGAACAAATAAAGCCAATGTTTACTGGAGTAGTGCATGATCATCAAGTGTCACTCCACTGCTGCACTGTCAGCAGTGGAGTGACATTCATCTACACAATGCTTCAAGGAGTTTCATGTATACTCCAGCATGTCTAAAACACTGATGGGACCTGTAAATACTATGTACATATTTCTAGACAATGATATGTGACCAAGGCAGGTGAAAAGATTCACCTGTCAGTGTGTTTGTGAATATTTGATTATTATTTCAGTACCTAATATTATCAGAACAAAGATTGGCTTTAAAATCACAAGAACTACTATAAATTGTAATAATCACACATAATCACTGTTTTTGCAGAGGTGCTCAGAATACAACAGTTTAGAAGCATATATGTATAAAGATACACAACATATCCTTCCAAACTGCCAATATCCCCCCCTTTAAAGCGCAGGCATTGTACTTCCCATTTCCAGGACTCCGGCTATATAAAAATAACCGGTTTCCCTGAATCCCTTCACTAAATATTACCCTGCTCACACTCCAACAGCTCCCCAGGTCCCAAATACCATTTGTCTCCATTCACTCCTATCTAACACGCTCATGCACGCTTGCTGGAAGTCCAAGCCCCTCACCCACAAAACCTCCTTTACCCCCTCCATCCAACCTTTTCAAGTACGACCCCTACCCAGCCTTCCTTCCCCTACAGATATATACGCTCTCCATGTCATTCTACTTTGATCCATTCTCTCTAAATGACCAAACCACCTCAACCCCTCTTTAGAAGGGTTGTTGAAATGTTTTGGTCATTTAAAGGTGGCTATTAACTCCACACCTTCTCCTAATTTTATTTTCACACTCCGAATTTTCTGCATAATATTTACACCACACATTGCCCTTAGACAGGACATGTCCACTGCCTCCAACCACCTCCTCGCTGCAGCATTTACAATCCAAGCTTCACACCCATATAAGAGTGTTGTTGCTACTATACTTTCATACATTCCCTTCTTTGCCTCCATAGATAACGTTTTTTGTCTCCATATATACCTCAATGCACCACTCACCTATTTTTCTTCATCAATTCCATGATTAACCTCATCCTTCATAAATTCATCCGCTGACACGTCAACTCCCAAATATCTAAAAACATTCACTTCTTCCATACTCCTCCTCCCCAATTTGATATCCAATTTTTCTTTATCTAAATCATATGATACCCTCATCACCTTACTCTATGTTCACTTTCAACCGTCTACCTTTACACACACTCTCAAACTCGTCCATTAACCTTTGCAATTTTTCTTTAGAATCTCCCATAAGCACAGTATCATCAGCAAAAAGTAACCATGACAATTCCTATTTTGTATTTGATACCCCATAATTTAATCCCACCCATTTCATGAACACCCTAGCATTTACTTCTTTTAAAACCCCATCTATAAATATTTTAAACAACCATGGTGATATTACACATCCCTTTTCTAAGACCTACTTTTACTGGGATGTAGTCTCCCTCTCTTCTACACACATTAACCTGAGCCACTATCCTCATAAAAACTCTTCACAGCATTTAGTAACTTACCACCTGTTCCATATATTTGCAACATCTGCCACATTGCTCCCCTATCCACTCTATCATATGCCTTTTCTAAATCCATAAATGCAATAAAAACTTCCCTACCTTTATCTAAATACTGTTCACATATATGCTTCAATGTAAAGACTTGATCTACACATCCACTACCCACTTTAAAACCTCCTTGCTCATCCACAATCCTACATTTTGTCTTACCTCTAATTCTTTCAATAATAACCCTACCGTACACTTTTCCTGGTATACTCAGTAAACTTATTCCTCTATAATTTTTACAATCTCTATTGTCCCCCTTCCCTATATATAAAGGGACTATACATGCTCTCTGCCAATCCCTAGGCACCTTCCCCTCTTTCATACATCTATTAAACAAAAATACCAACCAATCCAACACTATATCCCCCCCCTGCTTTTAACATTTCTGTCAAGATCCCATCAGTTCCAGTTGATTTAAACCCTTTCATTCTACGTAATGCCTCATGCACCTCCCGCACACTCACATCCTGCTCTTTTTCACTCCTAAAAGATGGTATATCTCCCTGGCCAGTGCATGAAATTACCGCCTGCCTTTCTTCGTTGACATTTAAAAGTTTCTCAAAATATTCTCGCCTTCTACCCAATACCTCCATCTCCCCATCTACTAACTCCCCTACTCTGTTTTTAACTGACAAATCCATTCGTTCCCTAGGCTTTCTTAACTTGTTTAACTCGCTCCAAAATTTTTTCTTTTTTTTATTATCACACTGGCCGATTCCCACCAAGGCAGGGTGGCCCGAAAAAGAAAAACTTTCACCATCATTCACTCCATCACTGTCTTGCCAGAAGGGTGCTTTACACTACAGTTTTTAAACTGCAACATTAACACCCCTCCTTCAGAGTGCAGGCACTGTACTTCCCATCTCCAGGACTCAAGTCCGGCCTGCCAGTTTCCCTGAATCCCTTCATAAATGTTACTTTGCTCACACTCCAACAGCACATCAAGTATTAAAAACCATTTGTCTCCATTCACTCCTATCAAACACGCTCACGCATGCCTGCTGGAAGTCCAAGCCCCTCGCACACAAAACCTCCTTTACCCCCTCCCTCCAACCTTTCCTAGGCCGACCCCTACCCCGCCTTCCTTCCACTACAGACTGATACACTCTTGAAGTCATTCTGTTTCGCTCCATTCTCTCTACATGTCCGAACCACCTCAACAACCCTTCCTCAGCCCTCTGGACAACAGTTTTGGTAATCCTGCACCTCCTCCTAACTTCCAAACTACGAATTCTCTGCATTATATTCACACCACACATTGCCCTCAGACATGACATCTCCACTGCCTCCAGCCTTCTCCTTGCTGCAACATTCATCACCCATGCTTCACACCCATATAAGAGCGTTGGTAAAACTATACTCTCATACATTCCCCTCTTTGCCTCCAAGGACAAAGTTCTTTGTCTCCACAGACTCCTAAGTGCACCACTCACTCTTTTTCCCTCATCAATTCTATGATTCACCTCATCTTTCATAGACCCATCCGCTGACACGTCCACTCCCAAATATCTGAATACGTTCACCTCCTCCATACTCTCTCCCTCCAATCTGATATTCAATCTTTCATCACCTAATCTTTTTGTTATACTCATAACCTTACTCTTTCCTGTATTCACCTTTAATTTTCTTCTCTTGCACACCCTACCAAATTCATCCACCAATCTCTGCAACTTCTCTTCAGAATCTCCCAAGAGCACAGTGTCATCAGCAAAGAGCAGCTGTGACAACTCCCACTTTGTGTGTGATTCTTTATCTTTTAACTCCATGCCTCTTGCCAAGACCCTCGCATTTACTTGTCTTACAACCCCATCTATAAATATATTAAACAACCACGGTGACATCACACATCCTTGTCTAAGGCCTACTTTTACTAGGAAAAAATTTCCCTCTTTCCTACATACTCTAACTTGAGCCTCACTATCCTCGTAAAAACTCTTCACTGCTTTCAGTAACCTACCTCCTACACCATACACTTACAACATCTGCCACACTGCCCCCCTATCCACCCTGTCATACGCCTTTTCCAAATCCATAAATGCCACAAAGACCTCTTTAGCCTTATCTAAATACTGTTCACTTATATGTTTCACTGTAAACACCTGGTCCACACACCCCCTACCTTTCCTAAAGCCTCCTTGTTCATCTGCTATCCTATTCTCCGTCTTACTCTTAATTCTTTCAATTATAACTCTACCATACACTTTACCAGGTATACTCAACAGACTTATCCCCCTATAATTTTTGCACTCTCTTTTATCCCCTTTGCCTTTATACAAAGGAACTATGCATGCTCT